AAACAGGAGACTTTACTGCTAAACCACGTTAGCCAACCGTATCCGTTTTTGTTTGCTTATTCCAAAGTAATTGTATTCCTTTATGTTCTGAAACCAATGTGTTGCAAAGGAAACAATTTCAACAAAAGAGTATCTGATCGTGGAAGAGGCTTGACACTGAGCACTGTCGCTGTAGACCATGGGAAATAAAAGCAACAGTTTAGTTATTGATCGGACGCCGTCGTCTGCCGCGCAGACAGTGAATCACTGGATGAGTAGGCAACTTGGGGAACTTCATCCCACAAAAGAAACAAAGTGTTCATTTTGTTGACGGACGTGTCAAACAACAGAGTTGTTACCTCACCTGTCACCACTCAGCAAAGTAACAATCAAGATACATCCAGTGTGTAAAAATAAGCCAGAAGTAAAAATCACATTGAAGTTCAGTCTGGAATGTTTTCAAGTTGTAGTTTTATATTTAGCCATCTGTTTAGCACTGATGCTAAGTCCAGTTAGCTTCTTTTCTTACTAGTGTGGAGTGTTCCCCCCCCCCCACCTCCTAATGCAAAACAAATTTTGCTGAAGAGTTTAAAACAAAAAGGCTTTGTTTGGAACTGGAAGGTTATGCTAGATTGCTTTCACCAATAAGGCCTTTGTGCCGAATGCAATGCAACTGGAGCGGCACACTTTATAGACAACTTATAAAGGGAAACAAATCATTCCCCCCCAAAAAAGCGACAAAGAGTGGAAGAGTCCAGTTTTCTTTGGCTTGCCTGTAAGGTTTGCAGAGTAATTGAGGCTGAAATGCATTCAGGATAGTTGCTTTCCATGTCATGGTGTCAGAGAAGGCAACTAATTGGGGGCAATCCCTCATACACCATGCAGAGATTAAAAGGGAAGATAGCGTTGGAGGACTGCAACAACTTTAATTGGGTTTGTTAAATAACTTTCGAGATTTCTGTCCACTCGTGTGATCTCCAAACGTATTAGCCGTCTCCCTAAAATACCTGCCGGCCCCACAAAAAGAAACGGCAGAGGGAACAAAAAAAGGAGAAAGACCTGCTTCACTAAAGGCGAAGCAACAAGGGCGTCCGTAATTGGCCGCAAATCAAAGTGTCCCTTTTAGAATTTGCACCTGCGTTTTAAAGCGAATCGGCTGTGATCTTTTTAGTCTTTGAAGACAAGTGTGGTTTTCTGTTCAGAAAATGGAAATGCAACGCCCACTGTGACAAAAAGAAATAAATAAATAAAAATACAGCACCGGCTTTAGAAGCAGGCTGTATGTTCGCTGACTGAACAGACATCTGAAGACAAAAAAAAACAAAAAACAAAATAGTTTCTGTTTTGTGACCGGGTTCAACGTTGTGGTAAGTTATCATTGTCTGTAATGGACTGCAGGTTTTTATTTGTGAATTCCTCAGCGAGTGCTGCTGATTTCACGTCTCAGAGAAATAAACTTCAAGAGTAATCAAGGTAAGACACATTACAGTAATAGCTCATCACATTTCTCCAAACAGACATTAGAGAGGAAGAGATTTAGAGACTGGTTTCCATAGCAATCCTGAGCACTGTCACATGGTTACCTAGGAACTAGTGCTGTCGTGTTGTGCTGCGTGTTTGTTTATGTTTTGGCGTTTATTAGGCTCCTGTTTACGCAGAGGAGATCCGGGTCTTTCATATCGCTCTGGACGGTCCGAGGAATTCTCAGACACTGACCCGATAAAAGAGTTGTTCTATTTCCACCTCGCGCCGCCAGCGACACCCCGCCGGGTCGCGCTCGGGTCACGCTCGGGTCAAGAGGACCACGCACAGAAAACAGAGTCACCGATCGCTGCTCTGCGGGTCCACAGAGGACAGGATTCAACGCCAAAGTCTTTTTGAGTCATTTAGGGAAACCTAAATCTCTCTTCGTCGAAGCTTTATTTGACTCTGGATGACGTTGAGCGGTTGCTCCAGTTTCTCTTTCACACTCTCAGTGCTGAGGTTGGGGTTGCAACAGCCAACAGATGGCTTTCTGGTACCGCACGCCAACATCTGAAACAATGACTCATTATGAATAGAGTACAAACGACAGCACGCTAAATACATTTAGCAAAGTTGCTCATCAAAATAGCACTACAGTGCATATATACAGTGAAAATGAAGAGGGAATTAAGACTGTTTGCAAAAACATCAAAGTTACGAAGCCCTATCGGGCTGAGACGAGTCTTTTGAGTTGATTAAATCCCCCACACAGCGATTGACTGCAACAAATCTCTTTATAATTAAATAGCAAAGTAATCATGTCTCTGTAAGATGCTAAAACGGCATGGCAACATTCATATTATTTTAGGTTTTAGAACATTTACAAAGAAACCGAATTTCAAGCGGCGATCAGCCCTCAGCATGCCTCCTTCTTCTCCTTCATCGTGGATCGAGAGCGCCCCCGTGTGTTCCAGAAAGCACAGTGCATCACAATATATCAGGTATTAAGACTTGCCAAAATGCATCTACTTTTAACTGTAGCAAGGAGGGATGGGGACAATCTCTGCATTCACAGAACCAGAACCAAACATAGAGAAGCAGCGTTCAGCTTCTCTCCACCGCAAATCTGGAACAAACTTCCGAAAAATTGTAAAACACTTGAAAGGCTGAGTTCCTTTAAATCTGGACTAAACCTTGTTAGAGTTGATTTTGTACCATGTTTTAATGAAACACTAGCCAACATTTTGATAAAAAGGTCAAAAAGTAATGTTTCAGTATTTGATCTTTGTGCTTTTGTGACGTAAAGCCTCGGTGTTGAAATGCGCGACACAAAATCAAATTGGATTTGATTTTGATTCGGCTTGAATGAGTTGTGGGAACGAAACGTTAAACACCAAGACCAAGCAAAGACGGCGTTACGCGGTACCGGTACGACATGACTCCCTGCTTCGTTTTGGACTTCTCTTTGGTGTTCTCACTTTGGAAAGCAAAGGCGTGCGCGTATGTTTCCTGAATCTCCGAAACACACAAAGCCGAAACGGACGAGCTACAAATACACATGCAGCTTTGTAGAGTCAGTTGCTGATCTGATCTGCAGACGCTGGAATCTTAGATCTGCTGCGGCGATGACGATTTTTCCAGCGTTTTATAAACATTTAAGGAGGGAAGTGGTTTGCAGACATTGGAAAATGTATTTTCTAAGAGCACTTGAACCCACAGAGAATGGATACAAGAGTCAACGCTGACATGATGGTGATATACTAGCAGTAATAAGAGAAAACAACCAAGTTTTCTCTGCTGAAACATCACAGTATGAAAGAAGAGAAACAACTGTTGGGATATTACTCTTTTGATGGGAAACGATTAAAAAGTCAAACGTAACATGTCAAAGGTGACTCAGACATTTTCACAGTAAAATACAATAATCACTAAACTTTTATAGACACATTCTATCTGCTTTCATAAACACACACAGATAACATCAATCTACTTTTTAAGTCTGCGAGATATGTGTGTGACCTTGTGTTAGTGCCATGTGTAATACCATTAACAAGAAAATTGGTCTCCATAGAGGCCGTCAAAAATTGCCATTGCCGACTATATTTCAAGTCGTCAAGGCGGGGTATTGGGTAAAGTTTTCAACTAGCAATAATCGCGCCTCGGTTTGACGTCATGGGCTACGATACTGCCACTGCGCAAAGTCATCAGCCTGACCTCAGCAGATGGGATCTCAATTCCCTCCCTATCATGTTGACCTCTGGTTGAAAACGTTGCTTCATCCTTTACTCAGCAAAGAAACAATCATAACGTCACAATCGCATCTAAAAATGACTCGACAATATTAGGCGTCAATGACAAGGAAGGGCAAAATGGCTGTGTGGCCACAGACTTTTTTTTCTTCTTTTTGTCTAACTTTCTTCTGAAGATGAGCGGCGTGGAGTCAAAGTGATTAAAACCAGTGTTTGCTTAAAATTGAGAAACGCAATCTAGACCTAAGAGCAGCCAAACTCACCAAATTCCCTTCTCACTTTATAAAATCCAAAAACGCATCCAATTTTTCCAGACAATTTTAATGAAAGCCAAAGAATTAGGCAACTGGTCTGTTGTTGAAAAATGTTTTTTTGTGACTACATTTCATCTTCAGTCGGTGGAAATCTAACGTGGCATCCAAAATGGCTGCTAAAATCACTCAGCATTTAGTTATGCAGGTAGTTTTGCATCGCTGTAGCCTGAAGGTTTTGCAGCACTCTCAGGATACCCAAACCTTCTTTTACACTGACAAAATAAGAGTCCATTTCATATGAGACCAGGCGTGATAGCTTCTTGCATGGAAGCTGAAACAACTCCAGGGTCCATAAACATTGTAGCATTTTTGTGTTTGCATAGATCACGTTGTTTTCATTTTTACCTGGAACTGAACGTGATAGCAGTCACATAATTAAGCTTTTCATGTATTATTGTGGATTTTGCAGGTTTGCCAGATTAGAAAAAGTTATTTTTTCAGGCAGATCAAATTTTTCTACATTTTGTTTTGTCTTTTTGGGGGTTTTTCTTACTCACTCTTACTTTATTTTGAAAAGTTTACAAAATGGGAAAGCAGAAACCAGAATTTTTGCAAAACTGTTTGCTTTTACAAATTAAATCAAAACTTGTGTTCCACCTTATTTCTCATTTCAACATCTTATATTGACTGTTTTGAAACATTGTTTTTGCTGTTTGTTTTTTATTACCAATACCAGGATTTTTTAAACACCTAGAATTGTCTTGTTCTGAAGAGTTCAAATAAAAATATTTATAGGCCGTCCAAATATGTGAGAATGTCTGAATGTCTTACAATGTGAACTGATTCACAGAAGATCTTTGGTTTTCAAATGTGGAACTCAAGAAATAAATGATTGAGAAATACTGTTGGTGGACATGCACAAATTCAAAGACTTCATAAACATCCTGACTGCTTTCACAAATGCATGTTGTTGACATCCATCTACTTTCTGATTACCTGAAAATCAACCAGATATAACAAAAGATTGACACAACTACGTTCATAAGTAAATCAGCCTACTCGGAGACCGTCAAAAATTGCCATTGTTGATTATGTTTCACATCGTCAAGGCGGGTATTGGGTAAAGTTTTCAACTGGCAATAATCGCACCTCGGTTTGACCTCATTGGTTACGATACTGCCACTGCGCAAAGATGGCAGTCTGATCTCAGCAGACAGGAACTCTATTCACTCCCTATCATGTTGACCTCTGGTTGAAAACGTTGCTTCATCTTTCACTAAGACTCTTGATGATTGAGGAATGCAATCATCACAGTCATTACCTTGAGAAATCATGACATTTGGTTAAGTATGAAACTGATATTAATGCCAAAAGTAATCAAATGTTATAATTTCATACGAGTGGAACAAATATGGAGAAACATTTAATGACATTTATCTACATATTAGAGATAAATAAATGTTACATTTAGCATGCACAAATGATTGTGCCTTTAGGTTACAAAAACCAAAACAATAAACAAGAGGTTATTTTTAAAAACATTTAAAATATAAATACTTTCCCCACCATGAGTATTGAAAATATTTTTGTTTTGAGGAATTGAAGCAAAACAAGCTATTTGGAGCGAACTTAAACGAGCTGATTGATAATAACCTGCACCAACTTGCAGGTTACAGTTAATGAAAGCTTACATTTCAACCTCCCAAATCTGAGACAGCCTGATTAATTTCTTGTTTATTTCTTTACATTTGATTCAGTCTCCGTAGAGACCGTCAAAAATTGCCATTGCCGACTATATTTCAAGTCGTCAAGGCGGGGTATTGGGTAAAGTTTTCAACTAGCAATAATCGCGCCTCGGATAAACCTCATGGGCTACGATACTGCCACTGCGCAAAGCTGACGTAAGAGCGCTCCGCAGACACTCTTTAGTCTGGGCTCTATCTGTTTCCCTCACGGTTTTACAGCAGGCGTGGTTTCAACAAATATGAGTAGATCAGGTTGTTATAATTACCTGTTAGTACTCATGTTCTTCTGTTCCTAAAGCAAATAGCAAAGATTGATCTCCACAGATATTAAGAAGAGGTTAAATTACGTCTACTGTGAAACAGGAATTGGTCGAAAGCGGCCGATCGCTTCAAGACATTTTGGAAGAAGCTTGGCGTAGTGTCGGATCTCATGGCAGAATAAATGTCGGAAAAGCATTTCAACTCATTCGAAGCCAGTAAAGAAAAGTTACCGAAAATAAAATCAAAAAATAGAAATGACGTCACATCCTGTGTCACAACATCTAGGGTCCGACATAGCCGGAATGAGGAAGTTCAATAAGTGACACTACTCTAAGATTTGCTATTGAGGTGGACCTTTATTTTATAAGGCAATGACTTTGTTGTACTAAGTTTAATTATACAGTAATATCAGCCTCCGTAGAGACCGTCAAAAATTGCCATTGCCGACTATATTTCAAGTCGTCAAGGCGGGGTATTGGGTAAAGTTTTCAACTAGCAATAATCGCGCCTCGGATAAACCTCATAGGCTACGATACTGCCACTGCGCAAAGCTGACGCACAGACGTGAGCGGAGGGGTAGTCAAGTTGCTGCATATCAGTTTAACTTACGGTTTCGTGACCAGCTCAAAGTACTATCGTATTTGCTTCTTTACTCAAAAACATTGGCCATTTTATGGGTCCAGTGGATCAAAATTAACCGCATTCTTTTTGTTTTATTGATAATCTCATTTTAAAACTGTGGATCTTGGCGCGGTGCATTCTGGGTCCAAACGTATATACCGTAAGTGTTGAACTGATGCGATATTTTTTTCATCTCACCATCAAAACACCAATTATCTCGCACTTAGCTTGACAAGCGAGCTTGACAAGCGAGCTAAGCGTTGTGTTTATAACCCAAAAGCTTTGAAATTCTCAAATTCTCACATATTGTTCTCAAAAATGCTATATTATGGTATGACCACCAGATGGCAGCGTAGGCAAGAGCAAAGCTAGTCTTAAATACTGCTTCCAGAATGCAGTGTTGGTGCATCGACACCAGATGGCAGACTGGAATGAGAATAAAGCTGGTCTTCTTTCACCGTTCACTACAACAAAACCACTTTTGCATCCCATTTTATCAACCTGTTGTAAGGTTCGACACTTCTGCTTAGTAATCCCTTTCCTACTAACTAATCCCAGCATTGTTATTAATCCAAACATACATTTATATTCATTTATATTCAAAGTGCTTAATACATAAAGGCAAAAATTGCACACTCATGTTCAAGGAAATATGTCCCTCGTGCATTAATATTCAGATTAATGTTTCCTGGCAAATTGCACTTTTCCCACAAGCTATTTTTTTTTCTTTTTTTATATTACACACGATCAAAGCAGTTTTTCCAAATTGTTGTGAAAAAGATTCAACAACTTTGAGCTCGAAGAAAACTGAAGCAGCTGTCAAGCATGGTAGCGACGCCATCAAGGCGACGGTCAGATTCGCTAACACCGGCCCTGCTGCCCTGCACAACAGAATTGCATTTCCTGTGAAAATGCAAGGCAGATGCTGTAAGCTGAATGTTGTTGGTGAAAACCGATGGCAGAATAAATTGAAGTCAATTGCATAAAACTTTGCAGAAAAGCAAGAGATAGGCAAAATGCATACGGAAAAACTGCTGAAGATGATTGAAATCCCCGTGTGAATACCTACAGCGTTCACACCAATGATAGCTTCACGTCAAGTAAACATCCAGACAGTGGAAATGTAAACAATACTGGCTTTTCAAACAACACAAAAATCCTAAAACACGTCAAAGCAACTAACACAACAGCCTTCTCCTAGCTGGCTACAAACAGTGAGCAGGTTCTCTCCAATTTAAGAAATGTTTAATTTAAACATCTGTGCAGGTGTTGGTATGTTTGAACCTGTTTTTATGATTTTGAATCTGTGCGAAGTGGACAAATTAAGATTTCCCCCCAGCCCTCACATATCGTATGTATATCGTATCACCTACAGTTCAAATGACCAGAGGATCCAAAGCAATATAACATTCATGCGAATGATAAGCATTCACATGCTGACTGCGGCTGCAGGTGTCCTTCTATACATATACTGAAATCCGGTCTTAAGCCCTTTGTAACGGCCTGAGCCTTTTACATGCACCGTGTTCGACGCGACCAGTAATTTCACTCTGTGGATATTAGAAACCTATTCACTTGTTGTGAAGCTTCAGTGGTATAACGTAGGTGCTTTTGGGTGCTCGGCAGATAAGCGTTGCTGTGCCAGGTGTTAAAGCCGCCTGAGCTGACACATTAGACAGGGATTTGCCCGTGCCAGAATGTCAGGCCAATGAGGCTCATAGAGGTAGGCTTGGATCACTGTCAGGGACAGGTAAGTACGCAGATAAGGGGATTACACTATGTTTGCGCCGAGTAATCTCAAATGAATCCCGCCAGCTTCTGTTTCATCCTCAGTCTGGAACGCACAAATTTCTCTTTTCTCAACCCAAGGAGCGCGCCACATCAGCAAAGTTTAATTCATAAAAACCAGCCTTTTATCCACGCTTAAAGTGCATTTGAGGGCATTTTGGGTTATGGTCACCTAATGACCTTGACAGTAATAATCTCCCCTTATTTTCCTAGAGACATAATTGCTTTTCAGCCGCATTCAATTTCTTTTTATCAGCAGCTCTGCCCTCTCCGTGCAGGTCTCGTAATAATCTGGGCCCTGCCATTTTTTATTGTGGTGCTGTTACATAAAGCTAAAAACTGACCTGTTGAACAATTAGGACTTTTTAGGAGTGGTTTAAAGCTGATGTGTCACACTCTTGTCATTGTCCTGTCCATCTTTAAAAGCTTTGTAAGTAGGGTCTGTTTGGGGGAACAAGAAAGACATCTGCTAAATCCAGTGACCTGGCCATCCTGATCTCCTGTCTAATCACACATTGACAGATCTCATCACGGGCTCGGTATCTCCGTCCTATCTCGGATCGGCAGACGAAATGGACGCCGCACGCTCGTTAAGAGCGTGTGAGTGAAAGCAGGCGTGTTTGGGCTTTTAGCCCGGACGCGAAGAGGGTCATTTTGTAATCTGGTCTGCTTCAGATCAAGGCCGTGTAAAAGATGGTTAGCTATGTTAAAAGTCTCTTTGTCTCTCTGGACTGGGCCCACCTGGAGACGATAAAGCTGTGATTAGATTGTGTTAAGAGCAGGAGGAGGAAAAACAATGACGTTTTTGTTTTAAGCTCGGGTGAAATGACAGAGTGTGAGCGAACATCTGATAAGAGAGGGACAAACGCAGCCCGCTTGTGCCTGCGCGGTTTCTGCCTGAAACCTTGGGGTCAAAAAGTCACACTCTTCTGGTGTTTTACTGGTCCACGAAGTTTCCCGCCCCATATTTATTGCGGTACACCTCCAGACGTCATTCTACTCGTTCAAATGCCACTCTTTCCGCCCAACACGTGCAGACTGTTCACAACAACCCACACACTGCTGCCACCCTGCTATTCCCAGCTTGTAGTTTTTTCCCAGACTGAGTCAAGAGCGACACCATAAGCCCGTCTGCCCGCTTTATGCCAAACCTGATGCCTCCTTGCCGCACGTGGCCTTTGCCAAGTATGTAAGCCTTTCCACGCATTTCCACAGCTAGGTTAAAGTCCCTCTCTCCATTTCCACGCATCTGAAATAGCTTCTAAGTCGTCCAGCTGGAGGTGCTCTCCGCTCAGTTAGAAAGCAAGTCGTGTGAGGGTGTTGCCTCCCCCACTTACTCCCTCGTCAGTCTGTCTCCGCACCTCCATCAGCACCCCCACCAGCACCCCCACAACAAGTCCCCGTGTCTGTGAACTGCTCCATCTGCTGACCTTGCAGTTCGCGGTCTGCCTCCGTCGCGTATCTTGGCAGACCTCCGGTTTGATACGATAAAATTAGCGAAACCGATAATACAGAAGTTACATCACTCTCTTGAGCTGTTTCTCATTTTTGTCACTTTGCAGCCACAAACCCGAGAGCATCAAAGTGGGATTTTATGTGACAAGGGCACATATGGTAGCAGAGGACAAGGACACATACATACTTTTAAACCTTTCTGTCCAAATAAAAGTCTGACGTGTTTCTGTTCATCCCCATTTTGTCGACAATTTGTAAGGATATCCTTTGCTTGTCTTTCGGTGTTTGTCAATTGACTTTCAACATCCAGATATGAACATTTTTAACTGTTACTTGCAAATTAGTTGGAGCTGAGTCAGACTGGACAGACATCAATTTTAAATCCTCCCAATCCAGATTAACAGCTGGATTTATGTCTGGGTTTTAACTTGTCTGTTTATGTCTGGGTAATCAATTTCCACATTCTTGCTGCCTCTTAAATGCCATCCCCCCCACACTTTAAGCAGGATTTCTTGTAGCTAGCTTTTTTTTATTCTTTTTGTCCCTCAGCCAGAAAGATTGTATTTGTGATGTTTTGAGTAGCTGACTAAAATTTAGGAAGTTAAAAGTTTCTCCCACTTGAGTTTACGATCTCTCTTGGCTCTTCTATAGACATATTTGTGTGAAAGACTAAGCCTTGTTAACATGTAAGCTATTTGACACACTTTGATCGTCTGGTAATCCATTTCATGGTATTGCATAAGTTTCCAAAGAAAGCAAAAAAAAAAAAAAAAAAAAAAAAAAGTACATTTAAGTGCAACAACATTTGTTGTTTGTCTTGTACAGTTTATGGGAAGTCCTACCTCAAAATATTTGATTTTATTGACACGTGTTTGCAAATTGTTATGAATTTGTACTTGTTTGTGTCCAAGAGCTACGTTTGATGTCAAACTTTGTAAATATATAAATGCTGTTCTAAAAGGATGTAGTAATTTGTCTTTTTACACGCAGAGTGATTAAACAAGACAAAGGATAATAAAAGGATGACTTTATTTACCTGTTTGTCTTTTTTTTAAATGTTTTTTTAAGAAAGATGCAATACTGGATTTGGGCAACAGAGGGCAGTCTGTCCTTGTGGCAAACATAGTGAACTATGAACCTTGAATGTGTTATGACCACTACATCATCACGGACACCTGGAAGACTGCATCAGAAATGAGGTCATATAATGTGTTGATAGTCAAATACTTTAGTGCCTGGACCAGCTGAGGGACACTGTGTGAATAATGGCTGTGTTTGACACCGGCATAATAGCAGCGGATCATCACTATTCGAGCAACATAAAGGGACGCTGCAGGCAGGTGTAGGGGCATTGATCAAAGTGTCATCAGGATATCTAATAGAACAAAGTAAAACTCTGTTCCACTCCAGTGAATTTAAAGAGCCTGGGCTTGGCCTTTCTTTGCTACCCAGACTCCCCTGGGCTAACATGCTCAGAGATCCAGCAGCCTCATTACTCTTTAGACAAACAGATTTGGACATATTGAACTCAGACCCAAAACAACCCGGCTGTGTGCCGCCACTTTCCACTCTCCAGGCCCTATGTGTGATAGGAGGGTGTTTGTCTCTCTCACTCTGTCTCTGGCTGTCTGTTTGCCTGACACTTGTCTGGCTTGGCCTACTTTCGTCTTGATCTCATCAGTCAGTGTGAAGACCTGCGAAGGCCATCTTCCCCATCTTGCTCTGTGAATCCCCGCCAGCTCAGTGCCTGTGTCAGCAGTTAGGGACTGACTCAAAAGCCCACGCAGTCTCTAGTGTTTGCTCCGGGGCCCACAAGGCAAAGGCAGCACTTCTCCTTCAATTCAGCAGACAGGCTCGTTTGCATGCTCATAAATCACTCAGAAAATCTGACACTGAGCCACGCATTAAGACTTGCCACAGTTGGAAAACTCAAAGAGCCAATTTTTCTTTTTTTTTTACATTATGAGAAAAATGCTCTAATCAAGGAAAATCATTCAGATAATCCTACGGAGCGGGTGTCCTTTAAGACAGTTATTCTGCAAGTACTACCTCGCTGAATGCCAAGGTTTCATTACTCTAACATTCAGACAGGTATGTTAAACTGGAAACACGGCATGACTTGTCATTTTTCTATTTTTCTTGTGTTGCTGGGCATGGATTTAATTTCTACTTAGAACTTACATTTTTTTATTGTCTTTCAAAGTAAAACACTGAACAGGAAAGTCCTGTTAAGTAAAAATTTTTGGTTTCTCATCAATCCGAAAATCGAGCTGCAATGTAAACCACAGCAGTAACTGTAGTGGTAAACTGTCAGTAGCTTGGTTGCTAAAGTCCTTTTTAACACACGAGCTACGTTAGTGTTTGAACACATACATTAAAAAGAAATAACAGTTTTTAGCTATTGCTGGTGATGGAAGTTAGCTTGTCACTGAGCCCGGTAATTAGCACGTCCCCTCCGTCCTCAAGCTTTTTATTACCCATTTACGCGCCAATAAATCACTCAAAAATCTGACACCGAGCCCCGCACTGAGACACGTCACAATTTGAAAACTCACAGTGCCAATTTTTATGAAAAAATAAAAAATAAAATAAATTACTTTAACTGGGGAAAATAATTCATACACTACTACAGAGTCAGTGTGCTTTAATCCTGTTGTTCTCAAATCCTTTGTAACATGTTCCACCACAGTGATATTCTACATTACCACAGTTTATGGTGGAGATATAGCAAATGGTTTAAATATCTGCCACTATACTTTATCACAGCACAACTTAAAAATGCTCAACTGCTTTTTGAAAGGCTTGGCTGTATTACATTTTCACTCAGAAATTACAATGGCCAGGTTCCAAATTGAAACATTCAAGAGGATTTTCTCCAAATTCAGCTGTTGAAGTTAAAAGGACGACAAAGATAAAATGTGGGTTTCAGTATAGTGCTTGCTGCCATTCTTAGCTGTTGTTTACATTTATTTTTATGGTTTGGATACATTAATTTTTTTCTACAAACAGTACAATACAAGCTGTGTAATGACAATGTGGGAAACAAGCAATTCCATCGTTTATGCTGAAAGTGGACTCTGGTGTTTATCTGAATGATGATGGTCTATTAAGAGAAGGTGGTTGGAAGATTCTGAAATGTTGTTGATGGTGTGTGTGTGTGTGTGTGTGTGTGTGTGTGTGTGTGTGTGTGTGAGCGCACTATCACCAAAAGTGCATCTTAGGAACAAAATAATTGTATTTTGTTTCGGTAAAGTGACGAGCCACCAGCTCTGGTTCCTTGTTTACTGTTGTCAACATTTTACTGGCGCTTGTGTTGTTTTCTAGTTCCTGCTTAAAGTAAACGTCGCTGTGCTTCAACAACTAATCATTTTGGTTGCTTTTTAGTTCTTATTTTCCATTATAAGTGGTTTGTATCAGAATTTACTCTAAGGTGTCCCATCAGTGGTACTTATACAAAGGAACCTTGTTGTTTTTATTTTGTTTTTCAAAATGTGGTCATCAGCACACAATCTATAATCCTACTTTTTGTTCTTTGCAGCTTGAGCTTTCCACAAAACTCTGAAAAAGGAGACTAAAAATGACGTGAACATATGGCTCATTCAAAAGCCGTTAAGTATTCACAGCTTATAAAAACTGAAGAGCTCCAAAATTATAGCTACTCCTTCTGATTAACGATTCAGCAGTCGAGGTACAGAGCACACACAAATAATTTGCGTTATTCAGACCGCTAAACCTTCTCTTGTGAGGACCCCGGCACATGGGGCTATGTGAAATGTAAATGAATGAAGAGGGTTGGTTTGGAAAAGTATTTTTAAACCAAACAGTTTCCCCCAGAAGGGCATTAATCACCACCGATTTATTTGGAATAAAAGCGGCGTGTGTGTATGCTTCCTTGTTTACGTACCAAGAAAAGTGCAATTAACATCATTACACCCAGTCACCTAAAATACAACATATGTGTATAGTTTATAGTGACAGCTAATTTCCCATTACTGTCAGTTTGTTTTAAGGCGAGTCGACGCTTCTGTTGCTGCCAGGACAACAAAATGGAAACTTGCTGGATGATTCAGACAAGATCACCATGTGACAACCGTTATGTCTTCCCTTGCAAAGCTGAAAGACCTCGCTGTCAGCAGCCTCCACTGGCAACTGGTTTATATCCATCCAAAGCAATACACACTAGAAAGCTGTCCAGAGTGATTCCTGTTGATTATCCCAGAGTACCATGAGATTGTCACTGGATAGACACAGGCTGACTCTGGAGTGTATTTTTCTATGCTAGTTATGAGAGGCTGTAAGCACGTGCAGCAAAATATCCGAGGTCATGACCTCAAGCTTGCAAGTGGAGAAAGTAGCACAAGGACCTGACATGGGGCTTTTACTCTGTTACTCCACGATCCAATAATAATCTTGACTAACCTATTGTATTCTAATGGGAACAAAAATGCATAATGATCATCAGGCTGTGAATAAAATCTTAGCTTATTCAAAAAGCTTTGTCTGCAGGCAAAACGTGAGGAATGGAAATAACTATATGTCAGTGGAACAGTATTTCATATGCACAATTCAATACCTGCATTAACCTTTTTTTATGCATCCAACATTTTGACATGAGGACAAAAAACATGTAGGATAAGTACAGTTATGAGAGCTCAATTTAAATCAACCTCTTTGGATTTGTTACAAAGCTTTGTGCTTATGCACACTGCTAACTGTAAAATTTACTGCTATGCTTACGTCTGTGAAGTTTGTATATATGTATCAGTATCTACAGCTTTCACATTTCCCTGTACTTGATAAGACTTCATTGGAGACGCTCTGAACAGGGAACAAAGTGGTGTAATGAAAGGGTTCGCAATAAGCAAAGCTTATGTCAAATGACATCAAACTACCTGGAAGGCAGCACTTTCAAACCTTTAATTTTCTCATACATTGAGTCGTCCAGCTCAGAATACAAAATACACACAAAAACTCACCCACACACGCACACATATAGCGCATAAATAATCATTTCCGAACAGACGAGCCTTCTGAACTTGCATAAGGCAGATCCTGGTCAGGAAAAACCCAAAAGGACAACACCCAGTGTAACAGATTGTAAATTTAGCTTGCTCGTTTTCTGTACACAGAGTGAAGAGTGAAGGTTCAGTTCCTATGGGATCCAAACAAGGTTTGTCCGAAACATATGGATCAACGCAATCTCTCAGTTTTAATTTGTCACACCAGATATTTATTTGTCTTGAATATCGTTCGCAGTTTTTTATTGTTTTCTAAATTCATCAAGCTTTCACACTGGATAGAGGAAAAATAAATATTTATATATATATTTACCGGACGCTGGCACCGCCAGCTGAATTGTGGAGGTTAAGTAAAAGCTATTACTTTTCATAATGAACGCGAGGCTTTATTGCTTGAAGTGACCTGGAAACGCCCCCACAGAAAGCTGAATCCGCTGTAGCACTTTGGGAGCCACAGCGCGGGGCTTGCCTTGCCTGCCTCCGTACCGCTGCCTTTCCCTACCCGCGGAACTATTTTCTATGTGCGCGTGTGTCGGCGAGCAGGAGACACAACTTGTAGCCTTCTCCCCGTTTCCTCCGCACACCATGCGGATTCGCCTTCAGCGTGCGTTGGAGTAAGTGAGAGGGAGGGGGGGGACACTTCTTTCCCCCGTTGTCGCCGTCGTCTGTTCTCGACCCCCCTGCGCGCGCTCCTCTCCAACCCTCCCAACCAACCAGCCTGTCCGCTTGGCTTCCTCCTCGTCCTCCCTCCGCTCTGTAGACCGCAAACCTCCCGGGCTCCGGAACGCGATGAGGGTCAGGACGAATGCGTGAGAGTCACATCCCACAGGTGTGTTGCCGCCTCTGCGAACCGTGCCTCTAGGCTCTGGTCCGAGGCGCGCGCGCGCATACCTGGAAATTACCATGTGACTCTGCACCTGGGCGTGGAGAAAGTCCTCTTATTCCAACCGGAGACTCTTTTGTTGAGGAGTTGACCGCGCCGTCTCCAAACGCAGCGACTGTTTGGTCAAACGGCTTGACCCGGGTTTTGGCTGCTCTTTCCCCCCACCTCTCCATTCCAGCGGAATAGTGCCTTTCCCCCCCCAGACCCACTCACAGGACGCGAGACGAGATGTAAAACTTCCTTTACGGACATTTCTCTAAATAAAAGTCGCCAGATTTCGTCGGAGGGATTCTTCGCTTGGCTCTCTGGACTGTTTGTGGAACTCCTCCGCTCTTTCACCTTCAAGGTGAGTTCCGAGAAAAGCTCGCCAGCGCTGTTGTTTTCATCCCCTCTTTGACTTCGTATGGATTTCGGTCTCTGTTAAGTGAGAGCGTGAACACAACTTCAATGCCAGTGAGCGTTAGGAGACAGGGAAGCCCAGGAATGTCGCTACACTTCAATGACCCCTTCGTTTTAGTGCTGTCTCAAAAGTGGCTGCGGATCAGTTCGCTCCTTCGCTGTTTCGTACCAGTGTGCGAACCGTGTTCTTGATCATTGCGTATCAATTACTTCTTATTGCTGGTAGTGTTTCTATTTATTCTTTTTGTGGAAATAAGTATTCACAAGTACTCAACTGTCTCATATAGTGAAATTAAATGCATGTTAGTTTCTGAAGATACTATCTCGGCATGATTCAAAAATAAAGAATCCCACCTTTCTCAAAGACCATAATTACAGGCTATAACAACATTAATGCGTTCCTACAACTATATTGCATCCATCTTCGCTGTCAGTCCCCAGAGTCTACCCCAAATGCTCTCTTGCAATTGACAGCTTTGGTCAGTGTTGCAAAAGTTTTAAAAGTAAGTTAGTTTATTGAGTCTTGTGGATTCTTTGCCAACTCTTGTCAGCCGAAATAAATGTTTTGATGAAGACGGGCAGCTGTGGGTAAGGGTTTGAAAAACAAAAAGTTGCAGATGCACACATATTCAGAGGATACATTCCAGACCTCAGCTCAGAAACTTCTTGACACAAAGGTTGAAGTCGCCAATAACTCTCTGAGGACATGTGCTGCTGCAGACAGGACTATATTGTGTCATGTACCCAGGGTTAAATAAGTTCAGTGAATGTTGTTCTGATGAATTTGCAGACAAAATAGAACGTAGAAAGCCAATAAAGCATTTTCAAAGATTGTTTTCCAGTCTACTGCTTACATCTGGGAGGTCTTTGATCAGGTCACTGGTTATGCTTCTAGCGCCGTTTTAGACCTTATGAAATACGAGATTACGACCTCTGAGCAAACTAAAATGACCCCCTGCATAGTATCCGTCATAGTCAAATAACTCCAGTTCTGTCCTGTTGATTATAAACAGATTATAAAGATTTATGAGCAATCACCAGTTGTCAAAGAGTGTATAAAATAGAACTGGGGTCTCACAAATTAGATATACCCACAAGCTGTCAAAAACTAAGGTATGAAAAGACCAAATCTGTAAGTGTGAAACAACTAAATGGGCAATATGACTATCATCCCTTCAAGGCTCAAATCCTACAGGCAGTAGTCTGTTTGATGAAGGCAAAAAACCTTGTGAAAACAAGCATGCCTTGTTCCCAACCTGAACACAATCCTTACCATGAAACACACCAGTAACGCTGTGCTGCATACCTAAATGTTTTTTTTTTTAAAAAGTCCTTTTGTACACAAGTAATGAGCTGTGTCATTGTAGTTCTTCACAGTTGCACTCATGACTGTCTGGGTGAAAACTTGTTCGACTGTTCTCAGACTCAACAGCTGATTGATGGTACAAGGGGAGGGAATAAAGGTCCCTGAAGACATGTGCTTCCCTAAAACCATTCATTTAACGTCAGATGCACTACAGCCACGGCATCTGCCCAGTCACCTCACAAGGGGCCATCTGTCCCTGCGCGATCGGCAATTTCGGTGAGAAATGGGCACGTGAGCCGCGTTCCTCACCTCTGGACAGGCGAGCCGTACATCAGCATCCGAGAGCACAGACGTAGTAGAGAGCCATGCCTCATGTTTGCTTTTTCTCTTTACTCTGTATCCGCTCTGTCTTGTCTCTCTTGTGGAGTACAAGGGAACAGAGGCACTATTGATGTCCCTGTTGAATCTCAAATGCTGTTCTTGCCAGTCTGTATCTCTCAGTCCCTGGTGCAGCCCTCAGAAAACCACTGTACTGCCTTGTTGCCCTGTTTAAATCGTCTTTTTTTTAATATCATCATCCAGACGTGCCGACTGTACGCGGGGTGATCTACCTCCTGGAGATTGTTCCAATTAAATAACTTCATGCAAACAGACTCATAGTGGGAATGGATTAGCGCAGGAAGGGGTTGTGTGGAAGCCGGAAAGGTGGCTGCCGGTGTCTGGAAGGGGGTTCAAGCAGGGGGTCAGCCTCCAGTTTCTTCCTCGCACCGGGAGAGACACCATCTGGTCACACAGAGATGAACGCAAGCAGTTTTGAAAAGTAACCCCCTCTTCCTCCTCCCCACCTCTGTTTAGTGTGTCTTTCTCTTTCTCCGTGCCCCACAATGCTTCATTCAGTGTTTATCTCTTCTGCTCTGAATAAATAGAGACACCTTATCTGTGCAGAGGAGAGTGTGATAAATGTCTTCTCCCGCTTCCCCACAAGGGTGAAGAAGACGGGCGTACCACACTGCTTCATCATAGATGCTCTTTTCAGGACAGGGGGATGAGAGACGTTTTTCATTCAGGTCATGCAAGGGGTTTCAGGAGTCTGCAAAACAATTCCCAAAGCACAGACTCATACCCTTTTAATGCAAGGGAAACGGGAAAACAAATCGAGCATTTCTGAGTTTTCTTCGCCTTCAACCTCTCTCCCTTTGGGTAAAAGGCTGCTGGATCTGGAATTAAACTTTCAGGTGAAATGTAGCATGGAGTAGCTTACAAAAGTTCTCGTGCCAGGTGTACATTTTCAGATTTGCTGCATTTTTATACTTTAGTGTGATGTAATGTAATGTTAAAGATCAAAGGAAAATGTTGCTTTATTTTGAAGCAACATTGTGTCTTTTGCCCATTTTTCCTCGCAAAGCATCTCCTGGTCAGTCAAATAAGGTCTGCAAATTGCAATTATCCCTTGACACAGATTCTGTGTTGCCACTCTTGAAAACAGCCCAGATTTGAGGAGAGCAGAACTAATAGTTGTAATATTAAGATATTGTCCTGATTTAGCAGTGGGTCCCTGCAGCTCCTCCAGAGTTACTAAGGGCCTCCTTGTTTGGCCCATCAGTATGCTATAGAGAGAGAGGTCTGGTCTAGGAAGGTTTGTTTTTTTGCCGCACTCCTCTTGTATTTCAGATGATAATGTTTACAAACCAATATTCAGTTACAAACCTCTTCGGATTCACAGAACAGCTGTATTTATACTGATTATGTGAGACACTGGAATCTACTCATAGGTGATTTAGAAAAAATATGAGGAGCATTCAGTTATGTTCAGTTTTATTTAGGATATCTGAGTAAAGAAGGCTCAGTGCAAATCACATCATACTGTTCAAGTTTTATTGTGAATAATCAGGAATATTATACATCCCCATGTATAATATTCCTTTCACTTGATTATCAAATGCTGCTCTGCGTTGAAGATTGTGGTTGTAATATGAGCAAAGTGTAAAATGTTTCAGGGGGTATGAAGACTTTTTTCCTAAGGCACTGTAACTACCTCTGGACTACTTATGAACAGATTTATTTATTTCTTTACATCAAAGGTTGCTTAGATGCTGTCTTTTCTTACGGGATTTGGAGTGGGCTAAAGTTTTAAATTCTTTCGTCTCTGTTTTTTCACAGAGCGTTGACTGTCTCCTGAATGCATGCGGCCTATTCTGGGACTTGGTAGCATTTTTTTTTGAGGTCAGATGCATTCATATTCATCCACTGTCTCTTTTGTTTCCTTTGCCACGGATTACAGACTCCTGTCATTTTCATTTGGAAAATAAAGCCTTAATCCTCATAAACAACGAGCAATCCCTTCTCTCTTGTCCATTGCACACAGGCAGGAACAAAGCACTGGACAAGCAGAGACATGACAAGCGTTTCCATCATTGTTGAGGGCCACTGGTTCTTTTTCAACTGGCAAATAAGCCTCCCTTTATGGTCCTTTCTAGACATCATAATCTAAATTATTACTGCATTGCTTTACCTCTTCAGATCTAATTCACGATATTGTGTGGTATTTCTCCCCTTTGTCGAGTCGACTTTCTACATTTACTGAGCATAAAACAGGTGTGGTGCAAACGGGATGTGCATGTGTGCTACATTGTTCCTCTTGCTTTCCTTATGTACACATTGCTTTCAGGGGAGTGTGGGCTGATGCTTGAAGGGTGTGTCAGCCTGGCATTAGGCTGCTGAAAGATGGGGGGGACTTCAGATTTCCTTTAAATTGGAGATAGACCTGTCTTTTCATGTTAAAGGATTATCCGGTGGTGAAGGAGGCGCCACGCTAAGGTGGATTTCTGATCTTATCTCCACTGGATTTTACTGCTGCCACCCTTGCCCTTGGAAATGAAGGTCTTGTCCTGAACTGTCCCTTAGGGTTTTTTTGTTTTTTTTTTTTTTACAGCTGCCTCTCATTCTGATGTGATGCATGCACTTCACACAACTAAACACCCGCTACCCTTTCCACTCAGCACGTTTCCTGTCCTCTCATGCACTTGAGATCAGAGTAAACAAAGCAGATGTACGACAGATCTAGGAGTTGTGATTGTGTTAATTCTCATCTCAAGTCCCCTAGCGCCAGACTGTGAATTTGGCATTGTGTCAGAGGAGCCTGGCACTTCTTTGCAACGTCAAACATCAGCAGCAGATGAAGTTCGCTTTAAGGCCCAGTAGCCTTTGCAGCTGAAGGGTCAAACGCAGCTCAATGTGTTTTACTTTTGCTGCTAAAACTACCAAGGCACTTTCACAATTCAAGCTGTTTTATCCCCATGTCTACCAGAAACCGCACAGCTCAGTCAACCCGTCATAGTTGTCAACTCACAGTGGTTTTTCTTGCTTCCCTGTTCCCCACCTTTGAGCTACAGTTACTCCCCCTTCCTCTGCTGGAGCATGAGTAAGAGAAACATAATGAATCTTGAAAATACCTTTCTGAAAAAGCCAAATGAATCACCTGGGGAAAGAGCTGCCTTAATTGCTGTTAGAGGGGAAAAAAACAAACTTCTTTAAAATGAAAGACTGAACAGGAGCATTTGTTTGGTGTGTTTATGACAAAATAATCTTAGAGACTTTTGAGTCGGGCTGTTTGTGGCTGATGCAGAGTTTTCCCTTTTGTGACGTCTGACCTGGCTCAATCACCAATTATTAAAAGAAAAATTGTCCAATTTGGGTCGCTGGCCAGTTGTTTGGGGCATCAGTCATTGTCATGGCTGTGAGAAGGACTCTTTGTGAACAGCAGTATGGACCGTCGCCAGCAGTGAAGACTGAAACCCAATGATAGAAACAGTAAACAAACATTTGCCTCAGTGCGCCTCCTCTGAGCCACTTTCCTTTGGCTGAAACAGACACTGGCTTTTGATGGTGCCTGTTTACTGGAGGCATGTCATCCAGCCCACCAACTCAGGCCATAAGCAACATTTCACACACACACACATAGTAAGCCATTTTGCCTGCTGCCACACATGGGTTTAAATGAAAACTCCTCTGCAAATGCAACCCAGTTCAGATCACCTCGTTTCCCCTATACGGAGACGGTTTCTTGTTTCGATTCCAGAAAAGACAAGAGCAGAAAGTTAATTTATCTGCTGCTTTTATAATTAAGCCTAGCATGATTCACTATCAAAACACTACCTGCTTAAACACTTCACAGGAAAGTCGGTTGCTTCATCTAGTCTAATGTGGCAGGCGATGTTTAGTCACCCTCTCTCCTTGGTTAGGATGAGAAGACGGTTCAGATCTCTCGAACTGAAACATACTGAAAATGAGTCAACGCTTCATTTCTGGGCAAATTGAGGGTGCTTGTGAAGGATTTGGCCGCTTGCTGATACATCTGCCTCAGAAGGCTTTGGGGCTGAAATGGACTTAGGCTTACACTCGCTGCAGAATAATGGAAACTGTGTAGAGCTACTTATTCCACCTGTAATGCTTTATCACTGCACTTTTTAAGTCTTCAACTAAGGGTTTCTCCACACTGAGTGACATTTAATCCCAGCAATGGCACCAGAGGATGCAATTCATTTTCATTCATGTGAGTCATTTCACAGTTAATCCTCCAAACTGACCAATTTACTCCCACCAAGATCATTTTTAATTATCACCTCTGCTTTACAGCTAATATGATGTCCAGCTGGTTGATGTTAATAGGCTAGTGGCTGTCGACTGTTGGCCCTCTGTTGCCTTTTCTCTCTTTTTCTTTCATGTACACTTGCTGATTAATTATGAACCACTGAAAATGAGGCTCAGCCAGAAATGGTAAGTGACAGATGCACGAAGGGGTCAGTTCAGTGGCAGCAGCTGGAGACGAAGGTCAAAATGTCAGATAGCAAAGAGATACGATAACATAAACTGTGGAAGAGAGACGGGGATGTCTTGTGCAAGTGAGTCTTTGAGAGCAAGCTTGTACAATAAAATTAGTGGTGCTGCAAAATAGTGACTGCTGTTGATTTTTAGTCCAATTCAGATTCTGGTTTCTAAGGATCGATACGCATAAAAGAGAAGAAAGATGTTGCAGAATGTTTAAAGTCTAATAGAGAATGAATTATTACCATCTTCATTTATGTATCAAAGCATTTTTTTGTTTGTTTTCCTTGTGTTTTTGTATTAAAAATGCATCAAGGTACTTACTATTGGCTCAGGTCTTTCATATAGACTGACTATTTTGTCATGTACACTGAATCTTAGTTTTAATACATTATAACAGTTTCTTTATTTGTATTGTTTGACCTTCCTCTCCCCAGGGAGAGCTGGTTAAGAGAATAAAATTGCTATTTGTAGTTTTTAGCTAAGTGTTTGGCATATCTTCATAATAAAATTAACCAATGCAGATCAATACTATCTTAGAGAATTTAGACACTATTTTTTGTCCTCTTGTCATGATTGTCTAAGGTTTTAATTTCAAATTGAAAAGATTCACCTGAAACAGAATTTTATATTTAGCGACATTTATTCTCCATGTATAGCTGTAGACGTCATGTTATTTTTGACAGACTTGGATGATCAGTTCAGAACTTTAGTTTGTAATTGTCCACATTCTGACTAAACTAGATTTTTTTTTTAGATTGCTAGTATTCAATTTTATTGACTGATGGTACGAATGGCATACACTGTGCAGTCCCCTGCAAAATCTATACATTTTGGAATTTTTATGTTTTCAATATTTAAACATAAAACTAATATTGGAACCGTGTAGCTATGTCTTTTTTGGCAAAAATCTGGATTATTTAAAAAAGTATTTTTACTTTTTGCTGAAATATCCTAGTAAAACTTCCGTAACACTATCAAAATTAAATATACAAAGGCAGTAATTGATTTAAAATAAAACTGGGTGAAACAGCAATTTTGCTGACCCGAGCTGTAGAAAAGCATCAGCAGTGTTGGATCATGAGACCATATGCTGTCCTTATTATTTCTGGCATGCACTTCTACCTGCTGGCAGGTGGAAGTGGTCATGGGGGAGGCGGGCAGCACTGCTGCAGGTTGGATGTCTGTCCCTTAGTCACTTCAGTCAAATTGTGAAGTTTGCTAAGGCTGCAGAAAGATGTTTTGTTCCACTTACTTGTGCTTATTTGTGCAAAACATGAAGTCTCCAGACCTTTCTGCCGTGCATCTCAATAGGATCTAATAATGAATACTAATATAGACAAGACAACACAGGGTTTCTAAGCATAGCACGGTCAGCAGCACTTTACACAAATCCAGGCTGTTTGGTAAATCTAATCTTTCCCTGAAATAAATCTACATCCTTTTATTATCAAGCTGGGATAATGGAGTATATAGATAAGGTTATGCTTTATTACATTTTATAATGAAATAGAATGAGGATTCTTTTTTTTTTTTTCCAGTATCATGTCCTTGTCTCTGTTAAATGAGGTGGGTATAGTGGCCTTTCGCTAGCCTGTGATCCAAGAGGGACCCATTAAAATCTGTTCATACAGCCATTGTTAAAGTTGCTGAGAATCTAGTTAAATGCCACTGGCTCTGTTGCTTCTCATCTGTAAACTGACAGACCGTTTTACTGTGGCTGCAGTCTCAGCAGCAGTAATAATACTGCCTAAGAAATAGCCTCAGCCTCAGAGACTGACATTTTGCCAGTGACCTGTCGGTCGCAAAAAATTAACTAGACTTTGCAATAATTTTTTAAGGGAATCTCTTTTTATTGATCCCCATGGAGAAATTGGCTCCTGGGAGCAGCCGGAGAGTGATTCAGCAGAAAAAAGTCGAGTACAATGCAAGCATAAATATAAATAAAAATGCACCAAAACAGCAAAACGTGGCCTGTGCGGAGGCCAGCTTTGTAGTATTTCATTGTGCATTTCATTTCACTGTGCAGATTTATAGCAGGCATTAGAGTGAGTCACATATTTTACCTCTGCATTGACCTTGACGTGTTGGGGCATGCCGGTGGGTTAAGAGCCCTGTTGGAGTGTATATAGTTGTAGTTTAATGATCATTAAATTACAGATCTACACAACAAATAACTACAAAGAGCAGCATTATTTGCAATGGCATTCAAAAGAACTGGCACTCTTTGTCATAATAGAACTACATATTTCATTCTTTACATTGAGATCTTTTTAAACTAGGACGTGGTAGTGCATCATTCTCAATAGAAGGAGAAGGATTCAGGTATTTGAAATTTTAACAAATAAAATATATATATACATCTATGTTCAGTTCTCTAGAATATAAACTTTTTAAAA